TCTACATCATCAAATGATTCATATCTGTACCCACTGACCGACCAAATCCTGTTCATGTCGGTGATCTTCGACCAAATACGTTTTATGACTGGTCACTTTAGTACAGGACCGATTCCCAGCCACATGTCCAAAGATTGCTGGATTGTTTTATCTAAGTGATGCACGTTTTGTACAAAACTCGACCATTACGTTAATGATAGGATTCTTGATGCATGGATTGTTGTTGTACCAGTAACAATAGCGCTAATTAACGGGGAGTGAGCTGGAACTACCAACGTACAGTCCTAACGTTACATTAAGACATACCCTGGGACCACATCCTCCATATATATATGTTATCATCTAGTAATTGGAACATTTTCCGATGGCTGGATTTAAAGGATGCACTGGTAGAATATAGGACCCTGGTTTAGCTGTGGATGCCAAAGTAATGGCCAATGGGACTCTCTGCCATGAAGACATCGTGTACTTTAACAATTTAGGACACCCTACATTCATCATTAACATATCTCAACTGAATCTCGTAAATTCCTAACTTGAATACAAAAAAATACAAATGTAACCTGGTTAAATATCTGTAACCAAGTTGTTATTCTGAGGTAACCAGGTTATAACCATAGTAACCAATAACTATACAATTTGAATTTACCAGAGCACTCTACTACCCCATCCCCTCTTTTCACCCCTTCCAGTCTAATTATCCCTCCCATTTAACCCCCTCCAAAGCCTGGGTCTGCCAAAGTCATCATCAGTTCTGTACACCAACAACAAACATGAAACACTTATTGAATTTGTCCCCATACATGCCAGGCTGTTATTGAATTTACAGAGCTAGCTTATCAGTATGGCTTTTCTTTGTTCAAATTTGATAAAAAAAAAAACAGTGATTCAAGAAAATCAAGTACGCTATATTTTCCTTGAGCTGTGAAGCAAATGTGATACTATGATGTATTTTGCAGAGCTCAGCACAGTTCCATGAAATTTTGTTCAACATTTGAAATTGTGTAAAGAATGAATTACAAAATATGTATTTCCCATCCAGATCAAACAAACTGGCATATCCAGGCTGACTGAAATCCATTTGATAATATTTTGAACCCTATGATGAACACATGCCCATGATTCTATATGACAACAATAGTATAATTTGGTCCTTTGACAAACCGACCTTAATCTGGCCTAGCCGTCCCTGATGACACACTGGAGTCTGACACCCTCCCCAGGAGGATGGTAGTGTTATGATACTGCAGAAGGGACCAAATACCCAGTGTACATCTCTTTCATTTCAGGTCACAGTACCATATTAATTAATTTTCAATAACAACAGTGTGTGCTGTTGGCTTTGATGTAGGTGTTCAGTATACGGACCCCTATAGCTCTTCTCCACACTTATGGAGTTGATTATCCCTAGGAGCCCCTCCGAGTCCCCTAAACTCCTGGCCCTACTTTGTTATCATACCCTTCATTTCACTTCCTAACTAGATGTTCTGAGGGTGATTAGGGACCGTAATGAACTAGGGATATTGGCTACCCTTTTCTTCCATACTTTGTCAAACAGATCAATATTTTATGATCAGACCATCCAGGAAAACCCTCTCATTCACACTCAGACAGAGTTTCAGTTAAAACCAGTCACTTATTTTACCCTAAATAAATACTCGCTCAAATAAATATCATCTCCCTGACAGCAGAAACAGAAATATCTAAGAAATGTACACAAAGATGCAACATGCTCCCGAGACCATTGTCACATTTCAACCTTTAAATACAAGATTACATTCAACCTTAGACAGGTATTCATTCACCCACATACAAAGTCTAAGATATCAGTATGTCTATAATCATCATAAGACATAGATTCCTAGAAACTAGTCTGTTACAAATCAGCTACAGAGTCCTTGTCTCCCTCTGAAACAGAGATTCCTAAAAGCATGCCATTTTGTTCGTCCTAAAAACACCTGCTTAAGTTAGACTGGAACCCAAGTCTCCACTCATGCAAATTTTCCCCTTCACCTTGCAAGATATTGTCCTTTCTTGCGATCAATACTTGACACTTGACAATCACAGTAAGACATTACATACACTACAATCCTGTGAGAATCAATACACGATCACAAAACAAACCTCTTTCACACCTTGTACGGACACCGAAATCAATAAAATTAGGACATTCTATCCTAAAGGTTACCAATTGGATATCCCCATTTGTGCCCCTCACCCATCTACCCTTCTCAGCTTTGTTAAAGTGTGGACCGGTCGACAAAAGATCAACCTTGAATTGTCTTTGTACCCTACTGGGGCCCCACCCACCTCCTCCTTATCACATTCTACCCAGAAATCGATAGAACAATTGTCTCGTCATCCCTGTTCCAGCTTCCTATTTACTCCATCAAGCTTCTCTAGAAAGCGTGTTAAATGTTTAAATGAACCTCTGTGACAGCAGAGCGCTTTGCTATGAAAGGCGACACAGAGCAAGACCTCTGCTATCTGCTTATTAATCAAATTAACAGGTTCCTCAACGTAAAATTACGAAAAAGTCAGTGATATCTATTTCTAGCCTCAGACAAAATATTTCAGATCTTGGAACAAAAACATTAATTTATTATTAAAGATTGTTTTCATAGAAACAAAAAGAATGTTTTATATAAAAATCATTCCAAAACATTTCTCAAGTAAATGTAAGATTTTATTTTTTTTTCAATCAACTACATGTGTACACATAACTGTCATCTCTAACGTATACAGGAAGTTGGGGATTCTCCTAATTTATTCATATTTACAATATACATGTCATCACGTAGGATGGTTCAGAATCAGAAATAGGTGCCGCATACTTCTGTCATCACTAAATTCTTCCACAGAACGTGTACAGTTTATAACTGATGATAAAAATAATTCACTTCATTATTTTCATGTCTGTACTTTAAAAATCTCAGAATTAACAAATCGTCAAGCTCCAAGAGAAACAATTGCCAAATTTATTATTGTGAAAACTGTTAAAACTCTTTACTACCAATACTGTACTGACTGAAAAGCTTGCTCTTACTTTGTGTCTAACATTTGCTTCTCACCTTTACTATTTTATGAACAGCAGACAGTGATTGTAGCCTTATCTCTGTGATCACCTACTACAGAATTAATGAGAACCACAGGCAAATTTTATTATAACATTATCACACTCGCCTCATAAAAAACAATTCTTAGAAATTGAGTTGCCATTCATAAGCTGTTTCTGCATATTGGTCTCTTATCTGTAGAACAGGTCTATTGATTATCATTTATTTGTTCCAATTCTTTATACGAACAACCTCCATATATCTATCTATAAATTAGAAAAATCTCGCAATCATAGAGCTTAACATCATTAGTGAACTAGAGTTTGCGTGTGCTGTTCACCATCATACCATTCCTCAGTACAACAAACCTTCACTGTGTTAGTCAGAGGCCTATACCTAACTTCATTTCACATCCGACTAATTAATTTTTTTCTGTAGTTGAAGGCCTGGGAATTACACAAGAGCTTAAAGTACACAGTTAGAACATGTTTTTGGTGTGTTGTTTTCAAAAAAATTCTAACGATGTTAATTTGTGAAATCTCAAGTTTTTTCTCTATCCTTGTAAATTGTTAATTTTTCTCGTTGGATAAGCGATAAAACAAGGCTTAACACCTCATTTAATTAAACACATCAGGGTCATCCAAAAGTTTTAATGATGACTTGACGTGATAAAACACTGACTGAATTACACGGGCAGAGACTTTGAGGATGATCCGAGATAAAAACCTACCTTGTGATACAGGAATGCATCACAATTCACAAAACCTCAACAAGTACGTGTTGTCTATTTTTGTGTAAGATGTAATTAATAATTAAGTCAAATAATCATCATTCTGTTCCAGTCTAGTCAATCTTCTCAGAGCTTTCAAAAGCAAAAACTAAACTAGTTTTTAAGATGAAAACACAAACTTCACATGACTAATGAAAATAAATTGTGTCCAACGATTATAGTTTTAAATGGAATTTTTTTATTCAAAAAAACTTTTTAAAAAATTAAATAAATGAAATTGAACTCTGAATGTGACGTAAGAACGTGTAAGATTGGAGGCTGTTAAAGAGGCTAGCAGGCCTGATGGCACTGGAGATACTTGTCGGAGACAATCAGCTTGGCTCTGTAATATGCCACTGGGGGGTACGAATGGCTTTAAATTAATAGGATAATCAAGTTTTTGTGATTGTAACAATAATGTATTCTATAACAGGATTTCACTTCTTTTTTAAATTTATGTAAAAAGATTCAAAATGGAGCCCCTATAATGATGAATATTCCATCAAAAATTTAAACCCGAGGCAATACCACACTCACCATCCACTCCTTTTTTACATTCTTATTAAACACTTTAATGTTGAATTAAATCTCCAGTCAACTTTCTTGATATTTTCAAAAACTGAAAAGTTCAGTAAATACCATTGACATAAGCCAACTTACAGTGTAAAAAAAGAAATGTTCTGTCACAGAATCTCAACACTTTTCTTAATACCCAAGAAATCTATCCTTCGTCCCTTTTATTGTTTTTCCTGAAGCCCTGTTAAAACATTTTTATTATGTATATACAGACCCATATATTTATCTATTATATAAAACAAGACCTCTACAGCAGAGACGAGCTTCGACCGTGCGTTTGACCTGGGGTAATACAGTCCCGCTAAAAACAACCCCTGGAAAGTAGACTTTCTGTCAGAATCATTCAATCCACTTAGTTTTGTAAATCCCGGACCAGATAGCCAGAGATAACGATACTTGTATTTCAAAGGACCACAGATAACACATCCTTCTCAGGAAAGAGAAAAAAGGGCGGATTTTTTTTTCCACATAAAAAACAACCTCTGTAACCTTGTGTCCAACATCACTATACAAATGTATACCGTATAGAACGCTCACAGGCAAACACAGGTATTTAATCCACGAGTACTACAAATGACCTCTCTCGTCCATTTACTTACTTGATACATTCACATCTGCTCATAGACGAACAGCCATATAAATCCCTCTGTATCGAGAATAATCCGATAATATTTCCTATTATAATTCAATAATAACTTTTCCAGATGAAAAGCTTCGGACACGTACACACGTAACCTCTCCGCTTTTGAAATCAAACAAATCTTTTCTTCACTTTAAGGAATGGTCAGCAGCTTTATAATCACAATACACTATTGGTCCGGGTTGTATGAGCTGTCCGTCTCACAATTTGTAAATAAACGCGGTTTTCCACATGGATGGGAGATCTCACAATGGTCGTGTGTAACATATGTATCCCCACTATTTTAATATCAATACAGTAGAAGATATTGGTTCCATGTAAAACTAATCCAGATCACTACGATAGTCCATATATTAGTGTTAACACAGCTATTATAATACACGTTGTATTGCTCTGATGCCTCGCTATAATATATTGTATCCTTATAAACCGCTACCGCCTTTCTGGCTACAGAAGCATCTCCACTGTGACAGCTTCAAACAGTCCTCCAGTTTCCCCTGTCCGTTAGCGGTTAAGGCCGTGTAGGTGCTAAAATCCCGGAATATCGTGGGTACTCCAGATACTAACAGTAGTACAGGGTACTGTGTATTCCTAATGTTTCGCGGTGTACTATCTCACAACCTGCAATCTACATTGCTGACAGATCACGAGCGAGCCGCTGTCAGCCACCAACTGTAACGGCTTCTCTGGGTGCTGATTGGTCGAAAGAGGCGTGGCATATACCATGGTTTATCCATGTAAACACAATACGCTCCGCCTAATAATGGGCGGAGCTACGACGATTGACATTCCTAACTGACACATTTTGCAGTGGTATTGATTTTGAGTGTCTAACCCCGCTATCGTAGCTACACAGTCCAGGGAGGCGAAATCCCCAGGGAGCTGGAGGCTGCCACAGGGGCTCTGTTACCAAACCTCGCCTTTGACAAATTTGATGATAAATTTTATATATTATTGGCTATGTGCACACAGGGTCATAAATAAGACGAAATATGCCTAACATGTTTTATGATAAATACAAACACACAACAGACTCCGGCAAATTATAGAAAGTTGTAATACAAGACATATCTGTTTATTACCTCAAATAATCAGGGTTTTCTACTCTCCTGAACTGCATCGTACATAAAAAATAATCGATGTTTGAATCATAAATAAAATGTGAATTTCCCACCAATAATCATGTACATTTATCTACAATGATTTTTAAAAGATATTTATCAGGCAGTATAATAAACATTAACCCTGTCTGGTTATTTATTTATTTACTTATTTATTTATTTATCCATTGAATTTTTAGTAAGAATATTTTGGAAAGGCTTTAATTTTGTTGATGTCAGAATTGTTTTGATAACAATTTCACCTCATATCTTACTTTATAATTGTTTAAACTTGTAACCTGAATATAATCTGTAGAACTAGATAAATACACAGTAAAATCAATCAATTTAGACATGTATTTGATTAGGGGCCATCTTTTGTACACACCAGCCCATCTCCACTCTCCCTGATAAGGTATCTGTTCTATAAATAACTCCATGTTTACCTGGATTAGAGACAGATACAACTCCTATTTTGCCAGTAATCCCTATCCCAGATTTACTTTAACCATTGTCTAACAGTTCCTTCCTGGCCCCACGTCACAGACCAAGGGATCAAACACGTTTCCCTTCAGTAATCTTAAGTAAGATAAGGTAATAGCCTACCTGAGACAGTGATTAGCTCACCTGTACACACTAATTAACTCACCTGTACATAGTATATAACTGACCACATCATGACCTTGCCCTTATCTGGTCTCATCACCTGTAGACTTTAGATTACACCATTATATCACCTGACTGAAGCCCTGTTTACTCAGATTCATACCTGTCTGTTAATTACAGGTGAAATTTTTCTCAGGCTTCAACTTAACACAAATTGAGCAGGGCACCCCAGGTAGTCATTAGCATGGGTGTGCACACAGGAAATTAACTGCCTTGCTTCACAATTACCCCCAATACAACTTGTAAGGCCCAAGGGCCTGGTGCTTTAGATATGATAAAGAAATCCTCTTGTAAATAAAGTATTTTATGTTATACTACAAATGATGCAAATGCTTAAAGCACTTTTTTGAAAAAATCATATTTGAGTAAGATTACATTTATTTTAATTTTTCAGGTGGTACCTGTAAAAAAAAAAATTTCTCTGTCAAGTACCAAATATACTGATTGCATGGAAATGAACAAGGGAACTGTTAAGTATGAGACAGTGTGATGATGGTGGTCAGTGCACCTTTCTCCTAGACGTCAGGGTTTTGATTCCCAAACAGACCTGAAGAGGCATGGGTTCACCTGCCAGACCACATATTGTGGGTCAGTCAGGGCCAAAACGTGGAAAGCTCTGAAATTATCTATTAAAATTGACTAATTATACCCTTTAATTAACTATGAATTAGACAACATGTGACACAGTAATTTATTTCTAGGCTGTTCGGAATGTTTAGTCGATCACATGTCTCCAGTTTTACCTGAATCCTGTACGTCTTTACTCACCTGTGATCTTGTTCACTAACTAATTACAGGTATAAATTTTCTGATGGCCTTTTTTGGTTAATGATGTAGTTTGAATATCTCGAGTGATTTAGAGTTTAATTTGAGCGTCTTTTTATATTTTTCTCCTTCAGACACATAAAAATTATATGACAGCACTTTCAAATTTTAATGTACATGAATATTTGATCAGCAAGGAATCCAATATTTATCAAATAATAACACTTTCATAAGTAATTTTTTGCAAAGTTCATTTTCAATTCAAACTCCATTTTTTTGTACTAAATGCATTTATCTTAATTGCTATTTACAAATAAATTGAATTTTTTATTATCTCAGTTAACAAAATATTACATTTTCAAAGCATTGAAATATTTACATTTGAATATTTATTTCAATTTATTCAAATCTACGTAAATATAAGTCAAACAGAAAACAAGGAGTATGGAGATGTTCTAGATAGATAGTTCTCTATACTGTATATTTCCAGGTCAGTAACACAAGTTACAAAAAATTCCAACAAGTTGGCAAGTCATTGTAAATCACATGAAAATTATAAATGGACTTTGGGACATATTGTTTTACTTAAGGGAATAGTGTACAAAAGGTACTTTAGTAATTACAGGTAAACAAGGCACTGATTACAGGTAAACAAAGAGACACTTGTAAACACTATTTGTCTGGCAGTAAATAACACCCAGTTAATGAATGCCATCTTCTGTCTTTGTTACTGTAGCATAATAATAAACAACTCAATTCATTTACATAAACATTTTTCTCTTACGACAAAAAAAAATTGTTTCCTTGTCAACAAGTACTGAATGTTCTAAACTGTGTACTTATAGATACTAATACAAAGGTAGATAGGGAAACATCTGGGAACTCCTGATCTGATGCCAGTTAAACAACAAAGCCAGCATCAACAGCAGTTGCCTGTCAAAGTTAGGTGAGACAACTGGAAGAGCACACCTGTGCCGACACAGATCAAAGACTTACCTTTGTAAAAAGAATGAAACAATGGTACTAGTTAGGTCATCCGTCTTTGATAGCAATTCACATCATCATTTTCTGAGGAAGAGAAGGCAAATGCTGAAATTAATCACAATACTACTTTACACAGGGAGGACAAATTCTCACCAAAGAACCAGCTATTGTTTTAAATCTATGCTCTGTTATCATTGTGTAAGTGTTCTACAATAAGTGTAGTTTTACAATAAATGTCAAATTTCTGTTGCAATTCAAAAAGTGTTTACACAATAATTACAGTGATATCTCGCAGAAGGAAAGAGGATATGATAAGTCAACAGAGATGTCACAGGTAAATAACAATGACAAAAAAACAGGATGTTAAATCTCTTCATCTGATCCTTCACAGGACATCAGAGAGGAATACAGGGTAAAACCAGGTATGATATAACAGTTGGAATGTTTATTAATATCAGTGTGCAGTGATATTTAATCAGATTATCAGTGTGCAGTGATAGTTCAGTGGTTTATCAATATACAGTGATATTTCAGTGGTTTATCAGTGTGCAGTGATATTTCAGTGGTTTATCAGTGTGCAGTGGTATTTCAGTGGTTTATCAGTGTGCAGTGATATTTCAGTGGTTTATCAGTGTGCAGTGATATTTCAGTGGTTTATCAGTGTGCAGTGATATTTCGGTGGTTAATCAGTGTGCAGTGATATCTCGGTGGTTTATCAGTGTGCAGTGATATTTCGGTGGTTTATCAGTGTGCAGTGATATTTCAGTGGTTTATCAGTGTGCAGTGATATTTCAGTGGTTTATCAGTGTGCAATGATAGTTCAGTGGTTAATCAGTGTGCAGTGATATTTCGGTGGTTAATCAGTGTGCAGTGATATTTCGGTGGTTAATCAGTGTGTAGTGATATTTCGGTGGTTAATCAGTGTGCAGTGGTATTTCAGTGGTTTATCAGTGTGCAGTGATAGTTCAGTGGTTAATCAGTGTGCAGTGATATTTCGGTGGTTAATCAGTGTGCAGTGATATTTCAGTGGTTTATCAATATACAGTGATATTTCAGTGGTTTATCAGTGTGCAGTGATAGTTCAGTGGTTAATCAGTGTGCAGTGATATTTCGGTGGTTAATCAGTGTGCAGTGATATTTCAGTGGTTTATCAATATACAGTGATATTTCAGTGGTTTATTAGTGTGCAGTGATATTTCAGTGGTTAATCAGTGTGCAGTGATATTTCAGTGGTTTATTATTGTGGTGATGTTTCGACTGGTTTATATCAGGTGTGATAAGGTTCTTGGTCAGATTTTAACTTGCAGTGGTCTATCAGTGTGTAACACTGGTTATGTCAAATGTGACACCCCTGCTACCAATAAACATATTGACACAGAGCTGTAAGTCTGTGTACATGTCTCTTAGTGGATTTATCAAGGATGTGTCCTACTGGCTTTGTTCTGTGATTTGGTCTGTAAAGGTGAAAGTGACCAGTGGTCAGTGTTATGTAATGTTTATTGTGGGAGGAGATGGACTCTTTAGCTTGCTAGCCAACACATGTGATGTTGTTCTACAGTATCAGAGCTGTGTACACAAGTCAGTCCTCCATCAGACTTGTGTTTACCTTCTGTATTGACCAGTATAAAACTACCCAGTGTTTACAGTAATAAGGAGACAATAGGCATATCCCCTCTACATTTCTTTAGTCCAATAAGATTGGCCAATCATTTTGAGGTTTACAAATCACTTTGAGGTTTACCTAAGGAAGTTAAAATGATTGACAATAATGTAAATCTAAGTTATACTAATCTGCATTTTTTAACAGATTACAAAAAATGTGGAGTCATTATTTTATTGTTGTAACTTGATGACTATTGGTCCTTCACTCCATAAATGAAACATGTCAGGTGACACAGGCTAACTTTACATAGGAATGCAGGTCTGGTTTATTCAAGTGCCCAGATTACACAGGTCTGGTTTATACAGGTGTCCAGATTACACAGGTCTGGTTTATACAGGTATCCAGAGTACACAGGTCTGGTATATACAGGTGTCCAGATTACACAGGTCTGGTTTATACAGGT